GAGGAAGCCTGTCATCATCCAATCGGCGGGAGAAGAGGTCAGAATGGAGCAGATGACTAGGCTGTGACACGGAGTGGATGAAGAAAGCAGACGGAGAAGATGACACAGCAGGTTAGTACTGCAGCACCGCATTGGTGCTGGGCACAAAAATGCTGTTTAACTGCACATGTCCAGACTCCAGACCAGAACACTGTATAGTGTGGCACAGCTATATCCAATTCTGCATACCTGGCTTTATATTATAAAAAAATTTAATAATAATATAAAGCCAGTTATACAGAATTGGATATACCTGTGCCACACACTTGCTAACTACGGCTTGTATCCCCATAGTGGGCAAAATAGATTAGCACATGTCCAGACTCCAGAACAGTGTATTATTGTATAGTGTGGCACAGCTATATCCAATTCTGCATACCATTTTCTTTATTCTAGACATGGTATACCAAACAATGTATCAGAAAAAGAAAAAACTGCCAAAGCCTTTATTTTAGTTATTGCAAGCAGGAAAGACATTTCACTACATCTAGCATACAGAAACAGCACTTTACCTCTCCATGAACACCTGCTCGGCAGTCAAAGTAGCACTGACACACAGCCGTGTACAGTGTCACCCTCCATTTCAGGTAGTGAAGAGACAGCAGAGGAACTGATGACTCCATACACGCACTTGCCCATAAGAGGAACTCCAGAGCCTTTAAGGAAAGACATACACGTGGTTCAATGTTTACTCTGCTAATATAGACTTGCCATTTATTGGCCTAGAATGACAATAACAATCTCATTTAGTGTCACTCTGTGATAAATGATGCAGTAAACACATTACAGTCTAACAGTTAGATTTATTATTTTATATAGGCTTTGATAAAAGTGTTTACAAAGATCAGCAAAGCAAACACTATCAGAGGTGCTTTATATCACACATTACCTACTGTACCCACTAGAGGTCCCCATTAGATGAGGTTTGAAAATTCAACTACAAGGTTGCATCTTTTATAAAAGCTTTAGCAGGCAGAAACTGATGACCTGAATTTTTTTTAGTGTGATAAAAATATCCATATCCTCTTAACCCTCATCCACATTCGTGACTGTTGAAGAATTGATTTAAAGCACACAGTGTGCATGAGAAATATCTCCTGATGGCTCCTAAACCCATAGTCAGATGCATGATGTTATGCCTTATGAATTTTACATAACATAGCCTCTGAGAAATTTGATCAAAATAATTAGGCTTTTGATGAAGGATTATAAAAAGATAGTTAATCTATATGGGATTCCTGTGCCTCCAGACATGTCAAATTAAAACAATTAGAGCAGTGTGTGACCCCCCTCCTCCTCATCATCAGTCATAGAGCCTTTTGCCCTCGGTTAAAGTGTTCCCGTGCTTCGTTAATGCAGTGCCATGCAACAAGTCCATCTTAAAGCCACCCACTGCAGCAGCTGCTTATATTCACTTAGCCTTTGCTCCCCGCATCTCCAGTGGCAAGCAAAGTAACATACCTAGTAATACCTAGTATGTCCGAGTATGGGGGAGAATGTGAAATTCTCCCTTTCCTGCTGTGTGGCAGTGTAGGAGCGTGCCCGCTCAGACACCAGCACTTTAACAATGGGGAGAAAGAATGTACATGCGCCTATAAAACAATCTGAAAATTATGTCGACGTTTTTTCACTTTGAGGACTATTTTGTGTAGTTTAGCGACCTAAAAATCCAGACTAGAGCAATTTAATGGCATGTTGTAACAGTAAAAATTCTAGAAAAGTCCAAAAATGACATATGTAGAGGAACCACAGCAGTGTATACAGTATGTATGTGTCTGATATTTATTATATCATATGATTATTATAGGATATAATTATTGTGTTATGATAGATTTTAATTTGAGCATATAAACCACATGATCTGCTTCTCTAATCACAAGGGAGGAAATGAGCTAAAACAATGCAGCCTAAAAATAAATATCCTGTAAAAGTATTACACTACAGCTTACAGTATGTCCCACCACTCAAATGATTTATACAAATGGCCTTTATGGTGTTTGATGACATTCTAAATAAGGCAGAATTCTAAGCATTGTGAATGTGACCCAAAATTATACTACTGTCATGAATGAAATGTCTGACTACTGCTGCAAAGAAACAAAGTGACAGCAGATATGAAGAGGACAGCACTCTTAGGGTTTGTTGTTAAATGATGCCTTAGGCATTTAAATACAGCGCTACTAAAATGCAAGCATTCAAATGCAAAACTGTCAAGAAATCATGTCCATTGTGACTTGCTAAATAGGGAGAGAACCTTATTTGAAGGAGGAGGAATGAGGAAAGAGTTTGCCTTGGGATGTAAAACAGGGCTTTACAAAAGTTATCACAGGCTGCAATAATGCCAGCCCCCACTGAAGGGAGACTTGCCCAAAATCTAGTTGGTGTATTTCAAGGGCAACCAGGTGATTCCGGCAAGCTTTTGAGATTTCACAAGCTAACCTGTGAGCTGGAATCCCTGTGCAATGTCACCTTTCCCACTGCCTACACACACACCAAACATCCAACCAACTACAGCTTGCCATCATCTGGCAAACAAAAAACCTGCTTTGCCTATAATGAAAATGCATCTTAATAGGAGCTGCTGTCCAAAAAAAAATGAAATACAAAGCAGGTTAAACATAGCCTCGGGATTGCCACCCACGCTGCTGTATTGAAGGAATCTGCTAACCTGCGTTTGATGTGCACTTCAAACACGCGTCAAATGCAGGAAAACAACAGCCGCCTACACAAGCCCAGGCAATTTCCACTGCCTTTAACCCACATTTGATTACAAAGATTACAGACAAGAAAAATGCAATTTACCACCAACTCCTTCTATCAGAACTTTGATCCATGAGTTCAAACTATAGGTAGTAGGCTTCCTTGATCCATTTGATCATTTTTCTGAATACTATGTATATGGCTAGCATGACAGTAAACAAAAGGTACAATCAATCACCTGTAGAAAGTTAGGGATTATAGGAGATCCCTATATGTGTATAGTAAAAATTATGTTTAGGTTAAACAGCTATTGATATATTTATTTATTTTTTTTACAAAACATGTATATTCAATTTCCAATGCACCGACAAATAAAAGGTATTTAGAATTATGTTTACATTTCCCATGAAGCCAAGTACAAATTACTGATCTATATCATCAGCAATATTAGGTTAAGAGTCACAATATACTGTATCTCAATAATATAAATTAGTGTTGACGGTTTCTTACCTGTGATGAATGTCCCAATACCATTAAATGTCTGCATATTGTGTATATATGAAGTGTACCTAAGCACAAAAATGGAAACATTTCTTAATTTACACATAATAGAAGCATAAAACATGTGTGTTTTTAATCAATATTGCATTGTCTACAGTAGAGGAAATAAAAATTCTATCCTAAAGAAATATACTAAACTCACATTGACTAAGATATTTATATTGTAGTTTACCAACAACAATTTGTCAATGAGCAGCAATCTGGACTAAACACCACAATTTGGTGTGCCGCAGTACTGCTCACCCATGGGGGTTAATTTAGTATTTGCAAATAGGCTTTACACTTTGTAAGGGAAATTTTCTCTTAGCTAAATTAATTTGGTGAAAATTCACTTTGCAAAGAATACCAAATCATGTGCAAGGGAAAAAAAAAACTTTGCTGATAGATGTGGCCGCTGTCACCCTGTCATTACCTTGAACAGGCACAGTGGTCGCATCGGAATGAGGGCACCTGGGAATCCTCAATGCTTTGCCTGATGAAGAGAACCAGTGAGGACCAAAAGCGCTTGCGTATAAGAACTTAAGGAACTTTAAATAAATTTAACATTCTGCTATCCTAAAAGGATTCTCGTGTGCTGGTGATACTTCTACATTTTATTGATACTTGCGGCGCCATCCACAGTCTCTGCTAGCACCCCCCATTACATGGGACTTTCGGTAAGGAGTGCAGCAAGGCAAAGAAAAAAGTATCTATCCTCTGGGATTCCTGCCGCAAGAATCCGTAGGTTCCTGCTGCTGGAATCCCTGAACCCAGCATAAATCCATGTGTGAATGGCGCCCTAGCTTAAGGAAAATTTCCTGGCAAAGTGAACAGCCTATTTGCTTTTAGTAAATCAACCCTATACTGTAGTGTCCAACAACCTAGACTCCTGGACTAGGATTTTCACACTCCTAGCCTCATCCCCTACAGGCAATGTTGAGAAGCTGGAGTAGAGGTAAAAAAAAGGAGTCCGTCACCAAAAAGCTGCCCTGACTGTTTTATGCTCATATAGAAAGCTGTTCATAAAACTTTTAGAATGAAGTGAATAAATTGTTGAATTATGGTGGCACATGGGGTTCATTAAACAGTCCTCAATTTTTATTTTGTGTCCATCCAGTGCTGGGATTCCCCAGATAAACATATTGCTGACCTCGCATTTCTTTTAAGCAGTTAAGCAATACAGCTTGGTCACTTTTCAGCCCACAGCCTGTGATTGGTCATTAAAACAACAGCATACCGACAAGGTCATCACTGTCCTCTCTCGCCCTGTCAGCATGTTCCTTGTCAGTGCACATGTATGCAGCACATTGCATTTGCTCATTGTACTGGCCCTCCTTCTCTTAGACTAAGTTTTACTGTGCAGCAGATTACAAGAAGCTGACACTCAGATACTAACACCAGTCGTATCTAAAAATACATGTATCAATGTTTTGTAAATACAATACTACATATAGTAAATTAATATTTATTTTCTATCTGCTTAAAGTTGCACTTGAATGCTTCCTCCACAGGAAAACGTCTTTAAGGATGCTTGCTGTCTGAATGTATTCTTCTACAATTATTTAGGTTAGACTATGGCTTAAACAGCTATGTCCTGCATAATGTACTGTATATCCCTGGATCCAAGGGCTGTCTTACAAAAGACAAATAACATTTCCTGTTTTCCTATAAACATTCTGACCTTGAGGAAAGGTTTTTTTTGTCCAATTCACTCAGATTCACACTATTGTGAAGTCTAGGGGCTCAACTCTAGCAACAGAAATGTATTTACTTTAAAGACTGTCCCAATCAGTTGCACATTAATGGTTAATAATAAAAGGGAGCCGGTTAACAAAAGGCTATTCACTCTTGAATTGTTATAATAGGCTAATCTTACTAGAGATGACTTGGTTTTTGATTATTCACGGTAGTCTGTCCTAGTGCAAGCGGATGTATCAGAGTGTAAGGCTATATAAAAAAATAAATTAAAAAAGTGCCTACTCCTTCCTGAGCTCAGTGCTCATAACAGATACTCCACATATTATTGCATACAAAATAGACTGAAGGTTTTGTTAAATTACAATTTTACCCTTTTCCAGCAGCCTAGATTGAGTGTCAGTTATCAGCCAACAAACAGGAGATAGGACATCCTCCATGAGAACCTTACAGCCTGACATAAGACTGATATTTTTGTTTTTACAGGGAGGGACGCCATGTAAAATCTACATAAAAACAGAATGCAATGATTTGCAAATCTCATAAAACCAAATTTTATTCCCAATAGAAATATCAAATGTTTAAACTGAGAAAATGTAAGAAACAAATAGGATAATTTTGAAATTGATGGCAGCAACACCTCTCCAAAAAGTTGGGACAGGGCAACAAATAGCTGGCAAAGTAGGTGGTAGTAACAAGGAAGAGCTGGAAGAACATTTTGCAACTAATTAGGTTAATTGTCAACAGGTCAGTAACATGATTGGGTATAAAAAGAGCATCTTAGAGAGTCCGAGTGTCTCAGAAGTAAAGATGAGCAGAGGTTCACCAATTTGAAAATCTGCATATAAATGTTCCTCAATGTAAAATTGCAACGACTTTAAATATATCATCATCTACAGTACACAATATCAAAATATTCAGAGAATCTGGAGAAATCTCTGTGCTCAAGGGACAAGGCCGAAACACAATACTGGAAGCCCGTGATCTTCAGACCCTCAGAGGGCACTGCATTAAAAACAGACATGATTCTGTGATGGACATCACTGCATGGGCTCAGGAACACTTCCAAAAATCACTGTCTGTGGACAGGGCCGGATTTGCTCTCCCTGCCGCCCCAAGGCCAGGTTCCGCAATGCGCCTCCTCCCCGCCAACCGAACCCCCCAAATCAACGGAGAAAGGTAACCGGATGGCAGGGGCGGCAGGGTTAGTTCTAATTTTTTTTGTTTCTTTATTTGTTCTTACTTTTTGATCACTTTATTGTTTATTTATTTTTTATAATTATGTTCTTATTATTTTTAATATTATTTTTCTTATTTTTTTACTTTTTAATTACTTTTTTATTTTTTTCATTTAATTATTATTTCTTTTTTTTATCTATTTTTTTTCCACTTAACTTTATTGCTATCACACAGGAGAAAGCAATCCCCTGTGTGATAGCAATTGGAGGTGACTGGTTCTCTTTATTGACCCTGTCACCTCCAAAACAGGAGTTCTAGCACAGCACTGAGCAGTTAGAATCCTATATCAGGCAAGAATGGGACAACATTCCTCTCCCAAAACTGCAGCAACTGGTCTCCTCAGTTCCCAGATGTTTTTAGGGTGTTGTTAAAAGAAGAGTGGATGCTACACCGTGGTAAACATGGCCCTGTCCCAACTTTTCTAAAACATTTTGCTGCTCTCAATTTTAAAATGACCTTATTTTTTTTCTTACATGTTCACAGTTTAAACATTTGATATGTTTAATATTCTCTATTGTGAATAAAATATGGGTTTATGAGATTATCAAATCATTGCATTCTGTTTTTATGTAGATTTTACACAGCGTCCAAACTTTTTTGGAATTTGGGTTGTAAACAGCACACACAAGAGGTAAGCCTACATTATTATACCAAATTCGGGAGTGTAGATTCACATTCCTCCAAATGGCCATTCCCAATTTGGTTCTGGACCACTTAATTTCTAAGTAAAAAAGTAAACCAGAATTACATTATTTGGGTTTTCAGGAACATCAGGAGCAATCTAAAGTTTTAAAAAGCAACTGGTTGTCAAACATGGCACACGTTACTTAGGTGCTGTCCAAGGGAAGCTCTGTTGTTCCTTCATAGAGCGGAGCCACCCTACTACATGAAGTGTATTAGTGGCAGGATCACTAGGAAGAAATAAAGGGAAAAAGCCTAAATAGCTGTGGAGGAGGATGCAGTATGGCTGAGTGATGCAGATGCAGGGCAGACTGTTATAAAAAGTACCAGCAAGTACAGTACAGAGGACTGAATGTGGAGATCCTGAAAGGAGAGAGTGTCATCCTGAGTTCTGCTGAAGGCTCTGACTGCCAGCGAAGGGTGGCTGTCTTTAGAGGGGATAGATTTAATTGGGCTCTACATGCTGACAGACAAGATTGATGAGCAGTGGAGAAACTATCCAAATAGAGAAAATTACACACACAAAAAATGGATAATACCCAAGATGGAGGCAACAGTGCTGGTCTTAAACAATCCCCTGGACCTCAGAAACAGCAAGGAAAAGCAAAAAGAGGTGCCGGCAAAACTGGAGAAATTCGCCAGAGGATCAACAGGTATGGACCCCTCTCAAACAAATAAAATGCGGCAAAGTATGGGGGAAAAATCAATATGTAAGCCTATTGAAGATGTCTCAGATGCAGAAGGGGGAGAAGTAGGGGGGACTGCGGACAGACCAGGTGGCCAGTCACCTCTAAATTATGCAGATACCCCTGAGGACCCCACACTTAAAGGAGGTGCTCTCAGCAGTACAAGCCTGTAATATGTCCTTGATTTCACTAGCAGGCCAAATACATAATTCTACAGTAACAATTCTTCAAGATATACGTACCATTATAAATTAACCAACAGAGATATTCCTGTGGAAGGACAACCTGCATGATGAGTTGTAGATAAGACAAAATGCTAAGGCATTTCTTCATGGATTCTTGATTTTGAAGATCAGCATCGCTCGTCTTCACCAACTGGTACATGCAAATACATCTGCCTTGCAGGGCATGGAACTGAAACAAGCATGACAAGTATGTTAGTGGAAATATGCCTTGTTTACCAAAACAATAACATGAAATAGCTATATTAAATCATAAGAGGCCATGGAGAAATTTGGAGACCTTTAGCAACCTAGAAAAGGTCACACTGGAACGGGTTTTCCCCTAAAAATCCATTATCTACCTGGGTGAATGACAGTACTTTTTATTACAACTAAGGCTCCAATTCTCTTCTGTACAGGTTGTGGTACATGGATACAAAGTGTACATTTGAAAAGCACCTCAACAGTTTGTGTACCAATCCATGCAAATAAACAGAAAGTATATCTATTTCATCGATTAAAGTACATCTAAAAGGCAAAACCATTTTTTTTTATATTTTGCATAGAGTACAGGAGGATTAAAAGAGAACTAAAGCCAAAGCTTTTTTGGCTTTAGTTCTCTTTTGGGTCACAGAAGTAAGTTAACTCTACCAATAATTCTCCTATAAAACAATAGTCATTTTTTTGTGTGTACAATCTGTGCTTCTTTAGGGAGATTTCCCTTCACTTCCCTTGTAGACTTACCAGGAAGTGAGCATATCTGTCCAATGTGAAAAAGATCTTCTCTTAGACAGTTGTCCTCACTGGAATATTTCCCCTCTATTCCTGTTCTGATGTTCTGAATTGTTATAATAGACTGGATTTACCCATCAATTTCATTTCTGGTGACATTGGTGATCAGGACAATTAGAGAGAGTGAACCCCAAAGGCAAAAAAAAGCAAGCCAGAGGCATTGCAAGACTCTGACAGCCACAGACATGACTCTCAGAGGCAGATGCATAATGGGACTTGTAGTTTCACCACAGCTGGAGTATTGAGGTTGCCTATTCCTATGTACAAAGTTACATGGTAATAAGATTGGGAAAAGACACAGGTCCATCCAGTACAAGTTGTGTGTGTGGTGTTCATGGATATTATATTCACCAGTTACTGAGACAACAACTTCCACTTCCTAAATACACTTAGCTTATGTCATTTTATGTTACTGTAATACACTGCATATTTACACAATGCCATTACAACCAAAAGCAGAACAAAACCATACAGTGAGACATATTCATATGTAACTGTTTAGAATTCTTTCCTGGTATTATACAAATTATCAAAGAAGAATATTTTGGCCGGAAATCCCTAAATTCTATTTACTTATAAACTAGTATATTTAAAGTTAAGCCTAGGGGAGGGGTTGTTATATAATTAGTGGAGAAAGAGCTGGCTAGGCAACATATTTTACACAGAAAAAGAAAGACAACAATTGCAACCAGCAATATTTGACCACTAAACTTTCTTTTATCAGACTTTTTTTTTTACATACATAAATATATATTTTATTTTCGGTTAGTTAGTCCCCATAAATACCTTTGACTTGATGCAGAGAATCACATTCACATACATCTCCTATATGCCCTTGTCCACATTTCATTCTGCCTTCCTCGTATCTCCCATAGTATTCATACATGCAGAAGCACTGTGTTTGGGAACTAGCACATAGGTGCGGGTGTGCCTGCAGGAGTGGCAGTGGTGGTGGTGGTGAAGGGAGGGAGCGGTGCCGCCCGCCCCAGCCCAGTAATAATATTAATGGTCTCTCCCCCTATCGAAACTGCCACTGGCCCTGCCGGCGGTGCCCGGGGCACATGCCCTCCTAACTTCAGCACTGCCCCCAACCACCGCCATGCCTCCCCTTCCCCACTATTACCTGGCTTCGCCCCACTTTTTCCATGTCCTGCAGCCTGCTCAGTCCGGGTACTGACAAGATGCCCCGCCTCCTGCAGAGCCCGCACTGTACTGAGAGCAACGCATTCCTTGTGACAGCCGCTGCTTGAGTCAGTGAGAGGCAGCCCTGGAGCCTCCGTGCCGCTTCAATGACGGCCCAGCCTGCACAGCATCAGAGGGGCGCAGGGACCACCAAAATTTTCTCGCGGACCACTGGTTGGCAACCGCTGCTCTATACCAAACTTGTTAAACCACTTGCTGTCCGGGGAATTTTCTTACTATTTACCCACACATTAAAATGTGGTGCACAGAAACATAATATAATACCCAGTTTTTTGGGTAAAATATGAAAGACGGGATCACGTCGGGTAAATAGACACCAAACATGCCAAGCCTTAAAATTGCGTTCTCCCGTGAAGCCGCAAAAAAGTAAATACCCCAAATTTCCCATAGGGAACATTTTAAACGCTTTTACCGCTCATCAGTTTAGTGCCAACAGTGATTGATGGCCCTAGAACTATTGCTCTCAGTCTGACGTTTGCGGCGATATGTAACATGTGTAGCACAATTGTCGTTTTCGCACGTAGGCGCACCGATGCGTGTTTGCATGTGTGTGTACGTGGGGGCAGGGACTTTTAAAAAAAAAACATTCTTATATGTTACTTTCATTTTTAAACACCTTTTTTTACACTAACCCTATTGCTATTACATAGGGAGCTAACAAGCCCCCTATGTAATAGCAGATAAGGTGTGACAGGTCCTCTTTATGGAGACATCAGGGGTCTTTCAGACCCCAAAGAAGCTGAGGAAGCAGAGATCTGCTTCCCCAGCTTCATCTCCTGGCTCTAAGAGCCGGAGACTGGAATGATCTGCTTCCCCAGCTTCATCTCCTGGCTCTAAGAGCCGGAGACTGGAACGAGTGACACCGGAAGTCATGTCATACACATCACTTCCGGGTCCAGTGATTGGAGGAGATATCAGCGGCTGGAAGCCGCTGAATCTCTCTCCGATCATTTGCAGGGAGACCCGCCGAGACACTCCCGGGCGCCGCACAGGGGACAGTGGTGCACGGGGAAGCCAACGGCGGCCGCGGCGGGGGGGGGGCGCCTCACGGTACAAACGATCAGGCGGCTGTACAGACACCGGATCGGTTGTACATTAACAGCAATTGCCTGCTGTTAAAAGCGGTACCAAGAACACGGCTGCAACAGCAGCCGTGTTCTTGTTTTAACCACTTCTGCGGGCCGCCGTCTATAGATGTATTGTGGCCCGGAAGTGGTTAAGGACCTAGCTGTTTGCACAGGTGCACAGGCATGCTGCAACAGAAAAAGCCTACCTGAAACTAAAGCTACAAGCTTAGAAGTGCACAATTGCCCTGAATTCATCTAGTGTGCTTGAATTAAATACGTAAATAAACATTGTGCATACCGTCAAACCTGCATTTTTGTCATCCGTGCCAGATGGGAAAAAAGTAGCCTTAAATTTTTCTACATCTGTAATTTCATCAATGTCCGCCGAGCAAAACTGTTCCAGATAGCGTCCATAGCACTGAAAGAGTGCAAGTTTATATTCCTGAAAAATATAAATGAGATAATACAGTGAATCTCCCCTGTGACACAGACAGCAGAAAACACTTGAAGGGTTTTAACATTTCCAGACTCTATCCAAAACTAAAACAAAAAGTTAGGAATTAAATCAGGGCTGCCAAGGGAAAAAAGAAAGAAGAGGAAGGAAGATGTGGCAGGGATGTTGAGGTAAGTACAGATCTGTGGTCTTATTCAGCCAATGGGCTAAAGCCAATGTAAATATCACTTTAAAACCCTCTGCCTATAGCATAACCATTCTCACTACAAGTTGAAAGCTGTGCATTATGATGGTTCTCAACATAATGTTTTCAGGTGGCTTCAATACTTCACCTCTAGACATTTGCAAACCTGTACTTATCAACAAGTCCGCACAGCAACAGGGATAAAGATCAGTAGGCACCTCTGTAGTTAAATAGCTCCCCATTCAGATGTCCCACAGAATAAGGGACAACTCAGCCAACTCCTGCTGTCATTTGTAAGAAAAAAGACTTCCACCACTTGTCTCCTTTATTGGGCTCTGACTGACTGATGACATCATCTACTACAGAGCCCGGCAGAGGGAGCGAGTAGTGGAAGCCTTTTTTTAGACCTGACTGCAGCGATCATCTGAGCTGTCACTGCTTTTTTGGATTGGAGGTTTAAGGCCTTGATCACACCGAAAGTGTGTGCGTTCCAGAGTGGTAGCTGCTGGAACGCACCACGATCGCTGAGAAACTTCCCCCCGCATCTGAATGAGGAATGATGAGTAACACAATGTATATCATTCCTGGGGCCCACACTGGGCCCCCCCAGGTCTGGGCCCCTTTGCAGCCATGTGGGCTGCTATAGCAGTAGTTCTACCAATTCCTGGTTTATTAGCATCATTTTCTCACTAGGCTAAATGAAAGTGCATCAGAGATAAATGATTCATGTGCCTAGAATAGATGGCTTTATGATGACTCATCCTCACCAAAAATGCAACAAGAATTCCATGACAAACTTCAAAAATATACATGATAAAAACAAAGAAAGTAAAATATATTCAACTTGATCATTACATTTGCCTGTGAATAACCTTGACTTACTCTGATCTGAACAAGGCTATCTCCAACCTTAAGAAGCTTTTCTTGATAATACCAGGCTGGCAGTCGAGGTTTATACTTGACCCAAATATGAAACAATGTACTAGATCTAAAAAAAGAAGAGGTGTATGATAAAATTCAAGTCTATAAATGTCACAAAAAAAGCATTGCATTAAAGTATCCAAGACAGAAGTTAATGATGCAGTTTGGAAGCCTGATTCAGATTTCACTTAAAGCTACACAACGGGTAAATAACCAGAACAGGCTTCCTAAAGAATGTGGGGGCATTAGGGCTTGCTCACACCTAATCCAGTGTGTTCCAGCAACCGTTAGTTGCTGGAATGCACTGGATTACATAATTACAGCCTCCCTGCATTCTGGAGAGGGAGGGGGAGTGGTGGTGCATTCAAGTCAATGGCATCGCAGCCACGCCAACTAACCGTGCTGGAATGCACTGGATTAGGTGTGAGCAAGCACTGAGGCTATCCTGCATCATTTGTGTTAGCATATGATGAGATACAACAATTATAATTACTCTATGCAAGACAGTAAAATGTCATTAACCTTACTATCTTCTATGATTGTTTATACTGAGGGGGTGGTAGACACAAAGGTGGTCTCGGCATTGACAAACAGCAACCATTGTGGACCTGAGCATCAGCAAAACCCATTGCATATCTCTTTTGTTTTTTTCATAGTATTAGTGAGCAGCATGGATATCAAGGACAGTCAAATGGAGACAGCCAAGCTTTATCACCAGCAGATTTTTTTAAAAATTATTATTAAAGGAGAACTATGAGATGAGTGATTTCCACTCACCTCATAGTTCTAAGCCGACCTGTGACAATGAGACTGTCACAGGTCAGCTCAGTAGATCGGGAGGTGAGCGAACACATACCGGGTTCCCTCACCTGTCACGGCTCTCTGCCGTAAAAGGGGGAGGGGCTGGATTCCCCTCTCCCCGCTCCGATCTGCCAGCGCTGACTGGCGGAACGGACGGGGGAGGGGGCGGGTACAGCTGGCTCTGCCTCTAGATAGGCAGAGCCAGCTGTCACTCACGCAGCTGGGCGGATCCCGTCATCTACGTCGGGATCCGCTCCAGGTGCGGCGTCTCAGTATACTGAGCTTAGGGTGACGGGAGGACGCTAGTTTGTGTCCTCCCGTTACCCTAAGGAGAACTATGGGGAAAAACACTGACTCCATAGTTCTCCTTTAATTCTTGCAGTGGGGCTACCGCCACACTTAAGTGCTCATTTGTGTCTAGGTGCTAAAAAAAAAAACAATGATAAGCTCACCCAAAGCTCCAAGCCGCTTCTTCTTAGACCGGTCCCTGGAATGTCGCTCCCCCTCCTCTGCAGCAGTCTAAGGTCCTGTAAATCATCATGTCTATATACACTGTGCATAGACGTGAGGACTTTGAGGAAGATTAAAATCTGTTGTGGAGGAGGTGACAGGCAGGAGGGAGTGCTGTGACAGCTGGCCAACTAGGAACTTTGGGTGAGTATAACTTTGTTATTTCAGCACGCAGACACAAACAAGCACTTAACCCTTGCAGTGCAGGGGTAGCCCTACTGCAAGGGTTAATAAAAAAATTCTTGGTGTTCTTTATAGAGGACCTAGTATCAGATATTTATGTTCATGTTAATTACAAGTGTAACACTAAGGCCCCTTTCACACGAACACCCACCCGCTCCAATCACCAGGGGATCCGGGCACAGATGCCCTCCTGATAGGGGCATTATGTGATGGATGCCACTTTTGTAAATGGACCATGTTAAGTCTATGGCAGCTGGTCCATGTGTGCGTTTACATCTGATTACATCGATCAGTTGTGTTTAGGTGTGAAAAAGTAGAGGACGCAAACCTTCTCCAGATTTGCTTCCTAACAGAAATGACTCAGTCACGTTACATTGGACACATCCAATCAGATATGCCTGAAAAACTGACAGGTAGATCTGATGGGACTGTCTGCGTGAAAACGGCCTTACAGGTATTTATTTTTCCCACAGAGATCACTGTGCTCTCCCTATCTTTTCTGCCAGAAATCAGTGTCATCTTTGCACAAACATAATCCAGGGTCAGCATCTACTTACAGGACTGAAATGCTGGCTCAGACTTGACACAATCAAGTACATTCTGGTTACTGTGCAATCCTGAGCAGTGTGTGTACACATGATGTCTCTTTCAGACCAACTCCCTCTCTCCTTGTTACTTGTTACAAAGCTAAAATGCTGTAGTTGGATCAGTGAAGGAGAGGAAATGAGGAAAATATTTCCTCCTGCCTACAGCATACCAATAACATTGTCTCACGGATTTTTCCTCTGCCTAGACAAAGTCATTTGAGAGAGCACATGGACTGCTATTTTAAGGGTTCAGCATTAAGGCCTGGTTCACACTGAGCGTTTTGTAGTGCTTTGCCCTAAAGAGCGTTCAAAAAATATGTTCCCCAAAAAATCCCATTCATTTCTATGGTCCTGTTCACATCTGAGCGTTTTGTCACAATAAGCAAAACGCCTGTTGCTGGAAAAAGTACAGAAGATTTTTTTGGAGCATATTACAGCTCGTTTTGGCCCTGCAAACTCGATAGGAATCGCTTGGAAGCGCAGGTTTTTTTGCTAATTAACATCAATGAGCTACAATCTGCTCACAAAAACGCACAATTTGCGGTAAGTGTTTTTCCCCATAGTTCTCCTAAGGGTCACAAGAGGACATAAACTAGCGTCCTCCTGTCACCCTAAGCTCAGTATACCGCGAGCTGTAGCTTGCGGTATACTGAGATGAGATGCCGCAGCCGGGACAGATCCCAACATTATTGTCAAGATCCACCCAGCTGCGTGAGTGACCGCTGACTCTGCCTATCTAGAGGAAGAGCCAGCTATGCCCGCCCCCTCCCCCGTCTGTTACGCCAGTCAGCGCTGGAGGATCGGAGTGGGGAGGGGGGGGATCCCTGCAGGTAGCCGTGAGTGGCAGTCACAGTTCTTTGCAGGGATAGATCAAGAAGTGAGCGAGCGCCGGTATGTGTGATCACTTCCCGATCTACTGAGCCGACCTGCGACAGTTTCATTGTCACAGGTCGGCTAGAACTATGAGGCTGAGTGATTTTCACTCGCCTCATAATTCTCTTTTAAGTAACAGATTTCGTGAGACAGACCTATGCATCACAACTAAAGCTGGCCATACACTAGTAGAATCTGTTAACAAAATCGTTTTTGAAACGTTCATTCGATTTTTTTATTTTGATTTTGGTTAATGGGGTGAAATTGACAATCGACTTCAACCATAGTGACGGGGAAAAAAGCAAAAGAGCAGGATGGAAATTTTTTCTTGAACAAATAAAATTCTAACAGGGAATGTGATTTCCATTCGGGAAACTCCATTCCAAATGTTAAACTCAACAAAATCTTGAAGGACATTTGACAAGTCTCTGGTGGCATTGTTAAATTTTCTGAAGAGATTTTTTTGGTATAAACATTTGTATGAAAATCTACAAGTGTATATCCAGCTTAAAGGGTTATTGAACCCTCTGGTGTTTTTCCATATATCTACTGCTAGCAAGCAGTAGATATATGCAAAAATTGTAAAAAAAAAAAATGTTTTAAAAGCGGGTTAAACTTACCTGTGTCTTCCCCGCGCTCCCGTCCGAAAATGTGAAAATTCTTGGCCGGCCGCAAACCATTTTGGGGCGGGAGCATGCGCAGTTCACATTTTCGTCCAGGAGACAAGGAGAGACACAAGGTAAGTATATGGAAGGCGTGCCCCCGCATGCAGACACCGTGGGACAGGAAGTGCCAGCAAGGGCAGAGGAGTCGGCGCTGGATTGGAGACCTGCAGCAGCGCTGGAGAGACAGATGAAAATGACAGAAGAAGATTGGATTAAGAAACATCATTTCAGGTAAGTGCTTTAATCTTTGACTTTAATGTCACTTTAAGTATCCTCCCACATCCACCTAGGGTGGCACATTCTCCATATATCTCAGGATTATATTGAGCATACAAAACAAAAGCCAGGTGATACTTTTTTCTCTACCTCTAGTTGTCACATGCTCCTATGAATAAGTATCCACCACCTCCTCATAAACCTCCAAAGGTTGGCCCTCTTGAATGATAGCGAACTGCACATACCACTCGTTTTCATACCCTTCTGTAAAGTTGACCATTTGAAGCTTCTTAAAGGAGAACTATGGGGTTAAGGCTTTTCCCCATAGTTCTCCTTAGGGTAACGGGAGGAGACAAACTAGCATCCTCCCGTCACCCTAAGCTCAGTATACCAATCATTGTACCCACTGGCTGATGGTTGCCCCCTCTTCTCGCACTCCCTGTACTAAACGGCACCAGCAGAAATCACATAGGATTCAACTGATATAAATTCTAGTATTAATAAATGTAATACACAACAAAAACATTTTACAGCTCATATAATGCCATATTTCTGCACACATATTCTATTTCTCCTCTAGTGATAGTTGTAGTTAAAACTTGTGGAAAGATTCCATATTGCACTTCTGCCTTCCTTCTACCCAAGTCTGTGTACTTCCATAAATTCCTTTCCATTTTTACCTGTCTATATCCATCTGAGGCAAGTTGGTCCTTCCTAAATTAAGCAAGGGTGACAATTTAACAGCTTTAGGGGGGAACATGAGAACAGTCCAGAGAAGAATCCAGGAATAGCGTTATCAACAAGCTCACTAAGCAACGCTACAAACACCAAAGCTTGATGTTAAAGCGGGGGAATGATGATAATGACCATGGTGGCTTTTCTGGTCACATCCTAAGGGGGTCTATTCACTAAAGGGTGAAGGGTTTGTAGAAAGCAGGAGAAGGGGACAATCTAGGACAACATAGCTGAACTGGAAAGTGAGCTGAATTGGAGAATTTTTCCAAATCAGCTATGTTGTCCTAGATTGTTCACTTCTCCTGCCTTCTCCAAACTCTTCACCCTTTTGTGAATAAACCCCTAAGAATGTATTTTTTGATATAGTACACAGAGCAAAGATGTACTATACTGAAATTCAATTACTAAAACAAACCAATCACTTATAAGCTTTAGCACATACAGGGAGACATTTACCAAGCAAATACACAACACAATTAGACTCAAATCAAGATGCC